GCAGAAAATAATGAAAGAATCTTCCTGTTTCTTGTTCTGTTCAGAAAATGCCTTTTCTATTGAAAGCTTGGAGGTGAGCGGCGGTTGAGTGGAAAATCTTGAGAAGAAGAATACGAAGGAGGAGAAGGAAGAGGGGCCTAAAGTTGTTTAAAATATGGGTACAAGTTAAAACTTTTTTAAAAAGTGAGTATAGGTTAAATGGGGGCGACCAAATAGGACATCCCATGCAATTTTTACATTGACAACTGCTTCAGCCAATGTGGTTCCTTGATCACGCCCAACTCTAGTCCTAAAAAGGATAAGCGGTCGCTGCAAATATAATTCGGTCTAAAAGTCCGGAGTCGAATCCCACCGAGAACTAAGGTTTCGCTGTAATTGTTCAATATCGCAAAGAAGACAAGTTTGAACAATTTCTAGTTATAATATTAAGATTTTTATATCTAACTAATTAACCAACAAATACTATAAAACGGTAAAATTATCAACTAACGAGACAAAGGTTTGGAGACTAAATTAAGGAGGTCTAGAGTTATGATTTCCCTAATTGTTGATTTCATTAATTGCATGATTCTTATAGCTTTGACTTAGTTGCCTCTATCAATCATGAACTCTCCAGCTATCATAAATCTCTCTCAAGCAATTATGATAATTTACTAGACGCACTCTCTCAAGCTACGCTAGCTAGATTCACATTACAGTTCACTTAGATCGCACCCGAGGTATCGTTATTTTTAATCCAACCTCTAAACCCTCGGTTATGACTCTCGCCTATACTCCGGGAGTGATGTTGTTCAAACAACTACCTAATATGCACTCGCTCTCAAGCAGATACATAATAAATAGGAACGGCTAATTGAGGATCCTTTCAATTAACCTAAAATCAAAACGTAGTTGAACAAATAGAGATTAACAACTAACTCAAAACTATATTAATATAACAACCAATTCATCCCCAAAAGGTTCCATCAAAACCCTAGAAAACGAATTAGCTATTCATAATAGCATGTAAAACTACAATACTAAAAATCATAACCAACAATGAAAAATAGAGGAAGGAAAAACTCGTTGAAGAATTCCGCGCCTTGCTCCTATTGTGTTCTTGAATCCTTAGGTCGAATCTCCGGTCTCCTTAGCCTCCTTAGGTCTAAATTATGTCAAAAGTATGTCCAAAAAAATGTCTCTTTCTTCTTGGCCAGCTTCCTTCGTTTAATATAGGGTTTAGGGCTTAAAATCCCGTGTTTTGCACTTTGGTCCCTGAAGTTTACGCGTCCTTTCGCGGTCCCACCGTGGTTACGTCCGGACTGCGGCCAGAGTGGCCTTCAGAATTTGCAGCAGTGTTCTGCTGCGGTCCTACCGCGGTTACGCCCGGACAGCGGCAGACCAGCTTCAGTTCTGGTTTTGTCCCTTAGCTTGGTGCACTTTGTGGATATTGTCTCCTTTTCTCCGTAATTGATCCCAAAAGTACTCCACAGACTTCTTTTATTGGATATAGCCTGCAAAGCATGAAAAACACTAATCAGAGCATCTTGTTATTACTTTTTACCGTAAAAGCTATACAAAAATGTGATTCTTTAGGGCCCAATTATAGTCTAATTTACCTATTATCATTCCTCCATAGGGAGCCGGGAGGGTGTGGGGAAAGGACTGAAGGCCTAGGTCTAGCTCGAATTGGGTCTAGTTTTTGGTTCTACTCATGTAGTCGAGCTAACATCATTTCTTACTCAGTTCACAATTAATAGTTTTGTACTATAAAAAATGATGGGATTCAAAGTATGGAGGTCATAAATTTTACTATAATTGGTCTATTTTTGCGTTAGTCAAACAAATTTTCTGGATATGACGCAGTCTGATATGCAATTCTATTTATCAACGTCAAAAGAAAAGTAAACGTACTCAAATTCATTTATCAAATAAATGAACTTGATTATTCGGTATTGATTGTATGGTTGAATAATATTCCTTTGATGATTGATGCCATGTTGTTTCCTTAAATCATGGTATACATAGAAAAAAAGGAAGAGAGAGGTGTCTTTATCCTTTAGTCTTCAGATTATAGTAATAGAATAATAGTATCGTCAAACAAAGTACAGAACTAATCATCTTTACGTACGTAGCTTTCAGGAAAGTGGCCATGTGCTCATGCATTCTCTACACCGTCAAGCAAAACCTAAGTTTATTACGAGTATTGAAATGTATATCTTAACTCTATATATGTTTATTTTTTCTCTCTATATATATGGCTTAATTCCGAAACACTGAATTTTGCTGAAGCAGCTAACAATTTTTCAATCCATAACTGCAATTAAGGAATTTATGCAGAATGATTCCAAATTAAGGATAGAATAGACAGCAAAGCAAAGGAGTTGACCGTACAAAGTCATTTTAACAACTGCCAACTAAGCCAATCAATTACACTATATATTAGTAAATGCCAATCATTAGGAAATCATACGATGTTAAACTTAATTTAATGGTTCAAGGCCTTGTAGTACGCTTGATTTCATTTGCATAAAAGAACGAAACTGTACAGAAGTGCGTCAGGAATGACGAGATTAATAACAAAATGTGATTATAGTGGTCCGAGATGCTATTAGTCCATCATTTTACTAGCGCAACAAATACTACTTCTCTGATTACTGGTGCTTTCTCACCATGATATTCTTGTTTATAATTACTTAGTCGATCGCCTATAGATTATCGTCTTAATATCTCAAAGCCCTGAATTCTTTTGCATTTAACTCCTTAAGCAAAAAGTAAATAGGAATCGGAACATGCATGGAACCTAATTATCTTCTAGGCCTAATGTGGATTGGACATATCCAACACTATACAAAAAAATGCATGCATATTCTTGTTCATCTATAGGTTGTCTCAAAAGCGGATCCAACATTTAAATTTAATGAGTTTAACTTTAATTTTAACCTTTTCAACATTAAACTCATTGTACTGCGCTAAAATAATATACTAGCTCAAATTCAATATTTGTTGAGATTTTTGTAATTATATATATATATATATATATATATATATATATATATATATATATATATATTCCGTATCAAAAGTTATGGATTCAGATGAACCCATAACCAAAACTCTACGTACCCCGAGTCGTCTGACATATACTGTTACTACCATTTCATGTGTGAGAGACTCCTCTCCTTTACAATTGGATAATCAAAGTTGATAAGATTACAAAAAAGATTGTGCATATATAATGTCATGCGCGGCTTTCTAGCCATACCCCATGACTCCTTGGACGCGCCACATGGTGTCCTAGCAAGCCTCCCAATGCCTAGCGCCACGGACGGTCCCGTGGTCTTGGCTGTGCCAAGTGACAAGCGCGCATGTGCCTCTGTCGCCCGCCGATGTCCCTCGCCAGCGCCCAGCCGCAGGCAGATGCCAACAGCGCCGCACGCGCAGACCGTGATGGCAAAGACAAGGTTGCTGACAATGGACCTATTTCTACCTTGTAGAAAACTAAGTACTTTTCATTGTAAATATAGAGTAGTTTTATTTCATATACTTCCATTATGTTTCTCTAGCTTAGTTAGGTCTAGTCTTGTAACTTTGGTTTATTTTTTTTAAGCACTATTAGGGGGATCAAACAATCAAACTTTCAAACAAGCAAATAATTCTCCGTACTGGTGTCTCTCCCCCTCGACACCATGTTGCTTTTCTTTAATAGATTTCATTAATGCAATCAAGCTTTCTTTCATTCTCAATTCTCATTTATATTCTCTCAATTGCTCTTGACATGGTTTTCCCGTACGGCACTGACAATCTCGTCTAGCGTACGGAGGGGACCTCAGTTGGAGGATAGTAACTATACTGACATCAGTTGCTTAGCCTTACGTTGCCCTTCCAAGGAATCTCAGGAAGGCGCCGCTTAACAATAACTATACATACCTAAGGTACAAAAAGGTATAATTCGAACTTAATTAATTTGTCTAATTCTAAAGGTGGACATTTGCATCTTACCCATGTTGAAGTGCTCTAGCTTCCTTTGATAATTTGCAAGCTAGAAGCTGGATTGCAAATGTAGGAAATTTTCTTCAAATAGGATCTTCCACATAATTAAGGAGGAGCACACTGCATGCTATAAGTATCAATACAGTTTAAATGGTCTGAATTATATCTTGATGCTCTTTAGTTGCTACTTAATTATTCACAGGCATGGAGATTCCAAACAGATTAAATATAATGTTTCAATTTTAAACCCTCTTCGACAAGAATCACATAGGAATAAACATGAGATTAATAGTCTCCCATAATTGAAGTCAACGACCGGATTAACTTTTAGCTATCACTTTTTAATTGAACGAATATGAATACGATCATTATAAGTGTACTTGTAGCAACTGGATTTTTTGGTCATTTGCTCAAATTAGAAGATGAAATTAAGAATGAAGAAGAGAGGAGAAGTAAGAGTAGCTTGATAGAGAGAAGTTAGAGAGAGAAAAAAGTATCTTCATTATCAAAAAGTTGATCAGATATGGCATATTCATGTGTATGTATATTAGTGAGCTAGATTATGCTAAGTAGGACTAACTACCTAACTAACTTAATCCCTGACAATTAACAGAATAACTAACTTATGATGAAATTACTAAAGTGCCCTTATTAGTTAAGTGACATTTTCCTCAACACTCCCCCTCAAGCTAGGGGGCATAAAGACATTTAATGTCCCTAGCTTGGAGCTCAAATACTGATGTTGTACTCTATTCAATCATTTTGTAAACATGTTTGCGGGCTGCTCTTCTGTAGGAATGTACTCAATTTTGACTAGGCCTTGTTGAATCTTTTCTCTTATAAAATGACAGTCAATCTCTATATGTTTTGTTCTTTCATAATAGACTGGATTGGCTGCTATTTGAATAGCAGCTTTGCTGTCGCAAAAGATGGTAACTTGCTGATCAATTTTTACATCAATCTCTTTCATTAACCCTAGTAACCATGTTAACTCTGCAACAGTAGACGCTAGGCTCCTGTATTTTGCTTCAGTAGAACTTCTGGATATTGTAGTTTGTCTTGGACTTCCATGAGACTAGTGAGTCACCTACCTTGATCAGATATCCTGTGACTGACTTCCTGGTATGTGCACAAGCTGCCCAATCAGCATTACAAAAAGTTGTAACTGTATCATTATTGTTGCTAGATAATAGAATGCCTTGTCCTCGTTGACTCTTGATATATCTAACAATTCTTAATGCAGCTTCCATGCGGGATTTTTTTGGCTGTTGTAGATATTGACTGAGTGTCTGAACACCGAAAGATATATCAGGCCTAGTAACTGTTAAGTATAGAAGTTTACCTATGAGTCTTTGATAGCTGCCTTGGTCTGCTAGTACATCATCTTCTGCTAGATTAGTTTTGCACAAGTGTTCAACAAACTCTCTTGTAGTGAGTTTTATGCTTGTGTCAATAGGTGTATTGATAGGTTTAGATGTTGCTAATCCAAGTTCTGATATAAGCTCCAAGGAGTACTTTCTCTGATGCATCAGAATTCCTTGTTTTGATCTTGCAAATTCTATTGTAAGACAATACTTTAGTTCCCCTAGATCCTTCATTTTGAAGGTCTGCTGTAGAGCTGCTTTAGTGTCTTGCACCAGTTTTAGATTGTCTCATGCTAGAAGCATATCATCTACATAAACTAACACTACAATAGTTCCTCTGTCAGTTTTCTTTACAAATAAGGAATGATCGAATGGACTCTCATTGAATTGGAACTTTAGTAAGGCTTCTGTCAACTTTGCATTCCATTGTCTCGGTGCTTGCTTAAGTCCATACAAGGATTTTTCTAGTCTACATACTGGTTTATACTCCCCCCGACTCTTAAATCCTCGTGGAAGATCCATATAAATTTCATCATGGAGATCACCTTGTAGGAAAGCATTATAGACATCCATTTGGTGTACATGCCATTTTTTGGAGGCTGCAATTCCTAAAACAGTTCTAACTGTTACCATTTTTACTACTGGAGAGAAAGTTTCCTGATAATATATACCGTCCTTTTGATTGTAGCCTTTGGCTACAAGTCTAGCCTTGAATCATTCTATTTCCCCTGTAGCTTTATACTTGATTTTGTAGATTCATTTACACCATATAGAGGTATTTCCTTCTGGTAAAGAAACAATTTCCCAGGTATGATTGCTTCAAGAGCTTCAACTTTCTGATTTCATTGCATCAACCCATCTAGTATCTCTAACTGCTTCTGCATAAGAGTTAGGTTCTGTTGTTGAAGAGAATGTAGAGATGTAGGCTTGATATTTAGGTGAAATATTCTCATAAGACATGTAATTAGAGATGTAATAGGTCACATCATGATTAACATTCAAGGAGACAAAATCCTTCATCCATATAGGAGGATGTTTTTCTCTATTAGATCTTCTAGTAGTAGTTATCTTTTGAGTCTGTTGAGTTTCAACTGAGATTATAGGAAGATTAAGTGAAGGTTGATTCTGTTGTAGACTATCTTCTGTGTGTGAATCAATTGTTGCTGTAGTAGATGGAATAATATTCAATGCTTCTGTGCTTTCTTGTATATCAGAGTTCATTTGATACATTTCTTGTTGGCCCAAGTAAAGGTTAGTTTTGAAGACTGACAAAGGAAGTCAGGCATGAACCAGGTCCATCCCTCAGGTTCATAAAAACGGGCAGATTCGAGCATGTGGGATGCATGTGAAGGAGATAAGCTTAACTTGGTGTATTTAATATCTCCTGATCGACAAGGTTGCATAATTGATAAGGAGAAGGACTCCTTAATCAAAGAGAACACTATCCAAGATAGGGAAGGAGTTAGAAGTTGAACCTTCCACAAAGGAAGAGTTGCATCAGAATTCTAGTTATTTCTTCATCTACTAACTCTATAAATTGCAGGATGTTCTCACATTATGGTGTTGCACAAAAATGCAGAAGTTAAACGTGAATTGAGAGCAAAATAGCAAGGCTTTTTGCAAGCAGTTCGTGTGTGATTCAAGTGTGCAAACCTGAAGCTACATGAACCAGATTGAAGAACCAGCTCCATAAAGAGTTTTATGTGTCTTTCTTTATTTCTAGTTCAATTGTAGTTGGTGTTTTCATATTGCACCTTTCAGCTTTATCTAGAAGCAATTGTAATATGTACTTTGAGTATTCAAGTTAGAGTTAACTTGAAGTTGTCGCAGTAGTTAGAGGTTGGTTGTTACAACGGGATTAGAGGTAACCTTAGGTTTACAAAGAGTTTTGTAAATGTTATTTTAACTCAGTGATTTAGTGAAGTGTTGAGGAAAAGCCTACTGAGTAGTAGGTCGTGGTTTTTTCACCTTTTGAGCTGGGTGTTTTCCACATAAAAATATTTGTGTTCTTTACTTTCTACATTTATTATTCCGCAACAGTAGCAGAAGGAACACAGAGAAGAACCAGGTCCTTTCATAATCAGTTTAAGCGAAAAATTAGACACCACACAGATCATCCCCCCTCTTGTGTGGTATTGAAGTGTAAAACATCAAAAAAGTTGTGCTTTAAACAAGTGATGTTTGGACTTTGAACAGTGATGTTTATAACCTAATATACCTAGTCTTTGATGATAAGTGATAAAATATCAATTGGTATCAGAGCGGGTTATCCTTGAAGAGGCTAACACCTTAGGAACAGATCAAGATGAGCGCACCGCCTGGAAACTGGGAAGGGCAATCCACTGATAGGCCTCCACTCTTTAATGGCCAGTACTACTCTTGGTGGAAAAACAGGATGAGAGATCACATCATCGGAGAACATTATCACTGATGGTCCCATGGCTACCATGAAGAAGAATGCTGAAAGAGTAGACGTGCCAAAAACAAGAGTTGACTGTAATGCTGTGGACTTGAGAAAATGGGAAAAGAATGCTAAGGCCAAGAAATGGCTTGTGTGTGGACTCGGTCTAGACGAGTACAGTAGAATTCAAAGTTGTACCACTGCTAAGGAAATCTGGACACTTTGCAAGTGGCTCATGAAGGAACTCCTCAAGTGAAGAGGTCCAGAGGAACACTGTTATATTCTCGATATGAGAATTTTACCATGAAGGAAGGGGAAACCATCCAAGAGATGTATACAAGGTTCACCACACTGACAAAGAACTTAAGTCTCTTGGAAGGGTTATTCTTGAAGAAGACAAAGTTGAGAAGATTTTGACAAGGGTTCTGCCAGTCTCTTGGGAAAGCAAAATCACTACTATTTAGGAATCAAAGAACATTGCCACTCTTAAGTTGGATGAGCTAATTGGAAATCTCACTGCCTATGAACTTAGAAGGCAAACCATGAAGATGGATGTAACCAAGAAGGAAAGGAGCCTGGCATTCAAATTCACTGAAGGTGCTGATCTAGAGGAGGATGAAATGACCATGATCACAAAGGACTTCAAGAAGTACCTAATGAGAGGAAAGGGTCCTTCAAGAAGTGGAAGCTACAGCAAACCAAGGATTCCTGAAAAACAAACCAATGAGGGGTGTTACAAGTGTGGGAAGACTGATCACCACATCAAAAACTGCCCTCAATGGGAAATTGAATGGAAGAAGAAAAGAGCTTAACGAAGGAACATGAAGAAGGAACAGGTTCAACCAAAGAAGAACAAAGGATCAACAAATGTTATGGTTGCTGCCTGGGGAGAAAGCTCAGATGAGGACTCAGAGGGTGAAGATGGAGATGAACAATCACTTATGGCAATTGGAGAATCCGATGAGGAATCTGAGGTAAGTATAATACATCTCAAAGACAAGATTAAATTTTTGTCTAAAGAAAGGCTATCTGAGTTACTCCTGGATTTCATTGATGAATCTGAGGATCTAAACAATGAAAAGGAATAGCTGTCTAAGGAGTGTGTGATTTTAAAAGCTAAGTGCAAAAATCTGGAACTTAGGGCTAGTGAAAGTGAAAGTAAAAATGCTGAGTTAAAGAACCAGGTTCATGAACTTGACACCACTGTCCTAGAGCTTAGATCTGAAAATCTAAAATTGAAATTAGGAACTGGTAAAAGGAAAGTTGATCACACACAACTCACTTTAGAAGAAAATATAGGAAAAATGAAAGATGAGTTGTACAAAAGAGATGAGCAGATAAGAGCCCTTAAAGAAGATCTAAACAAGGTTAAGCACGAGCTAGACATAACCTGTAAATGTAATAGGTCCTCCGATGCACTTTCATGGCTACATGAACACCATAGTAGCAATAAGAGAGGACTTGGCTACGGGACCCCTGCACCTAAGTGGGATCCTAAAAGCAAGTACCTCACACTTCCTGAGAACATAATTTGCACACACTGTGGTAAAACTGGTCACTATAAAAGTGAATGTATTGCAAAATAAAAGGCTAGTCAAAATAATAAAGAATTTGTTCAAGGGAAAAATAGGCTGCCGGGTTGGGCTAAAAAGAATCTGATTCACCCTTTTGCTTACAGAAAGGGACCCAAACTAGTTTGGGTTCCTAAGACTAACCCCTGGTTTTCTTTTGCGGGTCCAAGTGAAGGGGAGCAGCCAAATATGGTACATGGATAGTGGCTGCTCAAAGCATATGACAGGAAGCAAGAACCAGTTCCTTTCACTTGAGGACTTCAAAGGAAGTAATGTCTCCTTTAGAAATGGGAAGAAAGGTGAGATCATTGGGGTTGGAAAGGTAGGTAAGACTGATTCTCACTCTATTGAGAATGTCTACTTGATAGATGGCCTAAAGTACAGTCAAATCAGTGTATCACAATTATGTGATAAAGGTAACTTGGTAGCATTCACCTCTACCAAATATTTTGAGATTAATCTTACCATTGACAAGATTGTTTTGCAGGGAAAAAGAGTAAACAATACATACATTGTAGATTTGTCCACACTTTCAGAAAATGAATTCACTTGCTTAAGTGTCTTGGACAATGATACCCTCATTTGGCACAAGAGACTTGGACATGCAAATCTGAGTCAACTCAACAAATTAGTCTCCAAGGACCTAGTGATAGGGCTGCCTAACATCAAGTTCAAGGAAGACAAAGTTTGTGAGGCTTGTGCAAGGGGGAAGCAGGTAAGATCCTCTTTTAAATGCAAGAAAGTGGTAAGCACCACCAGAACGATGGAACTGGTCCATATGGATCTCTATGGTCCAATGAGAACATTAAGCAGATGTGGTAAAAGATATATGATGGTGCTTGTTGATGATTACTCTAGGTTTATTTGGACATTGTTCTTAACATCTAAAGATGAAGCATTTGACATGTTTACTTCTTTTGTTAGAAAAACTCAGAAACAACTAGGTAATCAACTTGCATCAATTAGGTATGATCATGGAACTGAATTTGAAAATGCTAAGTTTGCTGAATTTTTGCATGCTACATCATAAATAGTTGCATGACTAGACCTCTTGTTAAGAAGATTCCCTATGAGTCACTTAAAGGGAGAAAGCTAAATATATCCCATCTTAGGGCATTTAGATGCAAGTGTTTTGTGCACAATAATGACAAAGACTCCCTAGGTAAGTATGATCCCAAAAGTGATGAGGGAGTATTCTTGGGATATTCTTCACATAGTAAAGCTTATAAGATTACAGTAAAAGAACTATGTGTTTAAAAAAAATTGTATATGTTATTTTTTTAAGACTAACATTCTTTCTGAGAGGCAGGAACAAGATAATGAAGAGATTGGGCTGATAAGAAATTGAAATGGTGAAACCACATTCCATCCTGAAGATGCATCACAGGAAGGAACATGTGATGGAACAGGTCCTTCCACCCAGAGCAACATGACAGGGGGAACTGATCCACAAACCTCAAGGGAACCTGTCCATGAACCAATTCCTCAGTAACAAAACCAGGAAAGAACATCCAAAGAGATTGACACTCTTATTGCAACATCCACGAAATTAGATATAGATGAACCTGGTTCATCTGTTGATCAGAAGTTGTATAGGGGAATGATTGGTTCTCTTTTGTATCTTACTGCTAGCAGACCTGACATTGTTTTCAGTATAGGTCTTTGTGCTCGATTTCAGGCAAATCCAAAGAAGTCCCACTTGATTGCTGTCAAGAAAATATTGAGATACTTGAAAGGCGCCACTGACCTTTGCCTTTGGTATCCAAAATGTAGTAATTTTAACCTAGTGGGATATGCTGACACTGACTATGCAGGTTTCCTTGTTGATAGGAAGAGCACCTCAGGTATGGCACACTTCCTTGGTTCATGTCTTGTGTCATGGGCTACCAAAAAGCAAAGTTCAGTGGCCTTATCTACTGCTGAAGCGGAGTATGTTGCTGTTGCTTCATATTGTGCTCAATTGTTGTGGATCAAACAACAATTATTGAACTTTGGAGTTGATGTTGGTTGCATCCCTATTTTTTGTGATAACACTAGTGCTATTAGTATGACAAAGAACCTGGTTCATCATAAGAGAACTAAGCACATAGATGTTAGGCACCATTTTTGAGGGGCAACTATGAGAAAGGCTTGATCACTGTGGAGTTTTATGCTACTGACAAGCAAATTGCTGACATCTTCATAAAAGCCTTAAGTAGAGATCACTTTGAGAGGAACAGGTTGGAATTAGGGATGATTAAGATAACCTAAAAGGACCAGTTCAAGGTTTAAAAAAAATGAAAAAAAATTGGAAAATTTTGGTTAGAAAGCCTGTAAATTGTGTATAATTAGATTAAATCTTGCTCAGTCTCATACTTTCCATAGTATACTCTTGTGCCATGTGCTAAAATGACTCATTAGTCTCTAATGATATTTTCTCTATATAGGCAAATTTAGACTTACACAAGAGAATTATCAATGAAGAACCTGGTTCATCAAGATAACACGATATGTTTTCTACACTCTGCATAATTTGAAATAAATATATTTGGATCATGAGCAGAGTCCTACCAAATACCAAAGTTCTTTTGAACTTATCCGTTATAAGTGAACCAATTACGTTCAAGACTCTTGACCGTATTAAACTACCTAGATTCCTTTAAGTCTGCTACTCAAGGGGAATAAAGAGGTTCTTCCGAAATTGAACATGTATCTTCTGATGCTAAAGTTTCTCCTGAGGAAATTTCTAAAGTTGCTGCAAATTTGGAGAATAGATTTGTAGGATCTATAGCAGGTGTTGAGACTACAAAATCTGGAGAAGTTGGTGGTAAAAAAAAAAGGAGAGCAAGGGTGCTAGGAGTACTGTAAGGGGAAAGGGGTCAAGAGTGGCTGATTCTTCACCCACTCATGTGAGTTTAACCAAAGATGCAGGTGCAATGGTTGTTTGGGGAGATGGACTTGGTTCATCTACAGAGAAAACCCTCGCAGACCTGCTGAAGAAAGTGACTGAAAGTTATAATCCAGCTACTTAATAGAGTTATCAATGGCACCGAAACTCATATCATTCCCTATGGCTTCATTCTCAAAATTGTGCTTGCACATTTCAATGTACCTATGAAAAAGTGGGAGGTTAGTACAAGCATGGATCATTTTTGGGTTAATACTCTGCTTGCTTGCGATTATGAAGTCAATGTCACCCTTAAAGAACCTAGTTCATCCAAAAAGGTACCAGTGAATAGCAAGGTCAAAGCCTTGATGCAAGAAAGTGGGGCTAAGGATGCTGAGATTGAAAAGCTGAAGAAGAGGTTGGTTGAGGTGGAGACTAAGAGAGATGCTCTCAGAACTGAGCTGGCAAGAGAAAAAGAGAAGAATGATGGCATTCTTTAAGGTATGCTGAAATTCCTCCAAGTCAAAAACCAAGCACCTAGTTCTTCCAAGCCTTAAATCCCAGCCTATAGTAGATCAACTGGTGACCCAACTCGGGACTTTTTGTTTCTTTTGCTCATGTTTTCAGTATTTTTATTTCTTCTTATGCTTTGTGGTAGAATCTTATCAATCATCAATGAAATTCGCTATTTTTGCTCTAACTGTTTGTTTATATTTCTTTGGTGGTTAAAATTCATAGCTTGATCTATGATGATTAATCCATGTTTGCATTTGAAGTAGCCCCGGTGGCCATGAGTAAGCTTTAAAATCTAGTTATCTCACATTTTTTATGCAACTTTTCGATGATGCCAAAAGGGAAAAAAAGATTGTGCTTTAAAAAAGTGATGTTTAGACTTTGAACAGTGATGTTTATAACCTAATGTACATGGTCCTTGATGATAAGTGATAAAACATCATTTCTTTATCTGTATAGTCAACATCATAGATTTCAGTGTTTGGATTTTGAGAATGAAACACAGGCTGATTGTAACCTTCGAATTGCCTGTTATCTAGAATAGGTTGAGGTAGTTTAGTCAGGATATAGAAGGTGAAGATGCATTAGTTTTCTTGAAGGGAAACAAATCTTCCCTGAAAGTAACATCTCTGCTTACAAAGAATGAATGGCTAGATAGATCATATAAGATATAACCCTTTTACACCTCTGAGTAGCCCATTCACACTGCAGGCTTGGACCTTGATTTCAGTTTGTCAGTTTCTTATATGATCTTGGCATAACACTGGCAGCCTAGTATTCTTAAATGATTGAGTGAAGGTTTCCTTTTGTACAACTTTTCATAAGGTGAAACACCTACAACTGATGAAAGCATCCTGTTAATTATATATATAGCTGCTAGACCACAGTGACCCCAGAATTTGATGGGGATATTAGCTTGAAATCTGATAGCTCTAGTAACCTCTAAGATGTGTCTATGCTTTCTGTCAGCTACTCCATTTTGCTGAGGAGTATAGACACAAGTCCTCTGATGTATAATTCCTAATTTCTTGAACATATCACTGCAAATAGTATTGATAAATTTTGTGCCATTGTCTGTTCTGATTGCCTTAACTATTTTGTTGAATTGTATTTGAACAAAACTCAAAAAATACTGAATGACAACACACACATCAAATTTCAATTTTAACAAGCAGATCCATGTCATTTTGGAGAAGTCATCAACTATAGTCAAGAAAAATCTATTTCTATATAAAGTAGGAATCTTGTATGGTCCCCAAATATCCATATGAACCAGATCAAAACACTCAGTTCTTTTAATACTACTTGCTGGAAAAGGTAATCTGGTTTGTTTTGCACAAGGGCAGACATTACATTTATTTATTACTTCTGCTATAGACTCAGCTTTATTCTGAAGCATTTTCCTAAGAACAGTTATAGACACATGGCCAAATCTTATATGCCATAGGTTTATATCTTCAGCAGTAAACACTTCCTTGACTAGTAGACTGAGATTCATATCCTTGTTAGCAAGCTGACTCAGTAGTATGTATAGTCCATCTCTTTCTTTACCAATCTCCTTCATCCTCCCATTGAAGAGATCCTGAAATATACAAAAATAAGGATAGAAAGCTAACTCTTTAGTCATCTTTGAAACAGACATTAGATTAAACTTAAACTGAGGCAGATGAAAAACATTTTGAAGTGTACTCCTAGCTGAAATTGAGCTAGTTCCCGTGTGGGTAACGTGAGACACTTCACTATTGGGTAGACACACCCTCTTAGGATTAGTGTTCTTAACAATGAAATTTTAATTTAGCATTTCAATATCAGACACCATATGATTAGTTGCACCAATATTAATGATCCACCCTTTTGGGCAGTTGGAGACTAACAAAACAATACTCTTACCTGCTATATTTGCTACAAAGGTATTGTTGCAGCTTCCAGTGTTAGTTTTGTTTAGAATTTGTAATATTTATTCATATTGATCTTTTGTGAAGGCTCCTATCTGAGGCATTGACTGTTAGTTATCAACATGTCCCAATTTCTGATAAGTGTTAGACATATGTGTTTGTGCTTGTTGATATGTTCCCATCGAGTTCACAGTAGGCTGATTATTTGTTACTTCTGCAAGAACATTATAGGCTGCGGATCCTCCTGTTCCAATATTTCCTTTCTTCTTGAACTTGAAATCCGGAGGATAGCCAACTATCTTGAAACAGTTTTCCTTGCTATGACCTTTGAGTTTACAAAATTCACATTTAATATTATAGTTCTTCTTATACCTCTGATTTCCCATATTTCTTGTGTACATTTCTACATCATAATTTCCTGTAGTGATTGCTGGATTTGCACCTAATATCCCAGATGTGGCAGCTATTGTCTTTTGACTTTCATCACTTATGATCATTGAATATGCTTGATTGACAGTTGGAAGAGGGCTTCTCATGATAATCTGACTCCTAGCTTGAGAGTATGATTCATTAAGACCCATGAGAAATTGATATACTTTTAATTTTTGCAGATACAACACAAAGTCTCTAGACCTTGGGCAGTCACATCCAGGAAGTGATATTAATGCCTCAAATCTTCCCACATATCCTTCAATTTTGAGTAATATACTGATACAAAAGAAGTACCTTGGGCCCCAGTAGCTATTTCTTTGTACAAATTGAATGTTCTTGAGCCATCTACTTTATAAAATCTTTCATATAGATCATCCCAAACAGACTGTGCGTTAAACGCGTACATTATACCACCAAGAAGACTGCTATTCACAGAATTCATGATCCAAGACAACACAATAACTTTTGCTCTTTCCTAATGATTCTACATAGTTGCAGAAAAGTTTTCTTTCTTACAAGAACCATCTACCATCCCTAATTTGTTCCTTTCTAACAGAGCTACACGCATAGATCGATACCAAACTGAATAATTTTCGATACCTGTTAGTTGAAAGGAAATGATCTGTATTCCACTCACATCCAAGGGATGAAGGAACATAGGATGATTATAATCCATAACAGTCGGTTGAGTTGAAGTTCAAGTGGTTTGACTCAAATGAGCGACATCATCTTGTTCATTGTTTAAACTCATCTCTACAGGTCTTGAATTTGTCGATACAAATAAGAAATTACAGAAACTGAATTCGAATTGCGGAAACAGAATTGGATCAATTCAAAGCTGAATTATCTTGCTTTGATTGCTCTGATACCATACTAAAATTAAAAGATGAAATTAAGAATAAGAGAATCAGAGAATGAAGAAAAGAGGAGAAGTAAGAGCAGCTTGATAGAGAGAAGTTAGAGAGAGAAAGAAAGTATCTTCATTATCAAAAAGTTGATCAGATATGGCGTATACATGTATATTTATATTAGTGAGCTAGATTATGCTAAGTAGGACTAACTACCTAACTAACTTAATCCCTGACAGTTAACAGAATAATTAACTTATGGTAAAATTACTAAAGTGTCCTTATTAGTTAAGTGACATTTTCCTCAACATAGTTCAACAATAACGAAAGAAAAATATGTGGTGGTTATAAAATAAAATGTCTGGTTAATTATTAAACTAGTACTTACTTTTTTTTTTTGGCGCAAGCTTTGTAAAAATTTCATAGGCTTTCAATTTGGTCGCCCCTTTTAACTTGTACCATATCCTTTTTAAAAAGAAAAGTTTAAATAATACTCAAAGTACAGACAGCTTCATACCTTCTTCCCCTTCTCCTCCTCCTCCTCCTCCTCCTCCTTCTTCTTCTTATGATGATGATGATGATGATGATGATGATGATGATGATGTGGCTCTTTGGTACTGTTTAAGATTTCTTCTTCTTCTTCTTCTTAGTTGCAAAATGAATTTGCTAGATTTGTTGCTGTTTTGACAAATTGATGATTGAAATTTGTTGAGCTCATTTGGACTAGATTTGTGTGTTGAATCGTGTGTTGGATTATTTAAGTTCGAAGAACAAATTTCTGTTTCAAGTCAATTTGCACTTCACATAAAAAGTTTTAAAAGTGTATGCAAAAGTTAGCTGCACGTCAGACCAATTAAGTCTTAAATGCATTTTAAGTATAATTTTTGCACATCAAACTAAAAAAAATATCAAAAACATTTACCGCACTTAAGACAAAAGTCTAAAACTATCTTAAGTTTGCAACTTCAGACATGATCCTAAAGTGAGTAAACTTGTAAATGTTTATTCAATACGAGTATAACTTTAATGGTATCCCTAAAATTGAGTATATCCAAAAAAAAAAAAAAAAAAAAACCACCCACCCACGCCCACCAAGCTTTTGTTCCCGATTTTTGCCGTAAGTCCAGCCCTCCCGCCCAAACCACCCACTCCCCAGAAAAAAAGAAAAATCCTTTGATGCACATACAACGATTTGGATTCTTTTTGTAACAGTCACTCTGCCTTCTCTGTGACAAATTTTTAATTGCCTTCTTCTGCTTCATCGAAGTATGTTTTTGCCTTCCCGGCTTAACTAATCCCCGCAATAGCAGCCTGGTTTTCCTTCTTCTGCTTTTTTCCATGCATAAGTAAGGTATTGATATACGTTCTATGTGTCTCGCTGATGGAATTTGATTGCATCTTGTTGCGGATCTTGTTGATGTTTTGCTTTTTGATGTTTTAATTAGATGCATTTTCAGCATTTTTAATTGGATTTATGAGCTTAGAATCTCAAATTGGCTATTGAGACAATAGAATTGAACGATTGAGGCTTCAATTGCGATTTCCTTGTTTGCTTTGACTTGAAAATAGGTTCATGTTTGTAGTTCTGGCCGAAACCCTAACTTAAAGTCACAAAAATTTAAGCTCGTTGTTGCTAACCATTTATGCTAATTCAAGAATTATCCGGTGCTTCTTTTATTTTAAGAATTTTGAGCCTCTGAGTTTTTTCAATTGGTAATGCGGTTAAGCAGGAATGGTTAAATTGATTTTGGATTTCGGAATTCAGGATTAATATGTACTGATTATATGCCATTTCCTGAATTTAAAGTCTGTTATGTTATTTTGTCAATTGTATTTCCTTGTTTGCTTTGACTTGAAATCAACTCAACTTACAGACACTGAAGCTCGTTGTTGCTGACCATTTAGGATTCAAGAATTGTCGAGAACTTCTTTTATTTTAAAAGTATTGAGACTGTGAGTCTTTTCAATTGGTAATAATGTGGTTGAGTAGGAATGGTTAAATTGATTTCGAATGTCAGAATTTAGGATTAAGTACCGATTATTGTGATTTCCTGAATTTATCTGTTATTTTGTCGATGTTTGATTTTAAATTTGATTCCCACTCCATTGTTCTTGCTTGCTTGAGTAGAAATATTAAGTTTATGTTATCAGGTAACTGTTAACAAAGAACATCCACTTAGTGTAGTCACACAAGTGGGTCTGGGGAGGGTAGCGAGTACACAGCCTTACCCCTACCATTATGCAGGTAGGGAGAGACAAATAAAGAAAACTATACTTAGAAAAACGAAAGACCCACAAAGAGATACAGTCTCATTAATCTTCTGTGGACAAGGCTATGTTAATAATTGGAAGTATACATTTCCATCTTTTCTTCTTATGCCAGTAGTATTGCTGAATTAAAACAAAAACAAAAACATAAAAAAAGAGGGAAAAAAGAGGGCATGGCTGCTTTCGGTAAAATATTTAAGCACGCCACTGCCTATGAACACAAGAACTCTAAATTCTTTTCTTGCGTTTGCTTTATGAGAACTGAGTGGGGCTTGAGAATGTCTGCCCGAATTGCCAATTGGCTGGAACGATATTTAGGAATGTTTTTGTGACACCATCTGTTGCAGTGACCCTGAAGGACAGGGATTGTCCATTGAGATAAGCAGTGGACTGAAAATTGGCTCCCCAGTTGTTAGACATTGTCATCCAGTTTGTTCTTGAGCCTTTGATTTGAACTGATCGAACAGATCCAGCCCCTCCTACATTGCTTACCAATACTAGCTCAAAATAGTCCCTTCCATTGATTGTGAATCTAACTCCACCATGCTTCTTGCAAGGAACCCTGCTCCACAAAACAAGAAACACACACTTTGTCAAACTTAGCTACTTCCTTAATAGCTTTATATTAAATGCCAAGAATCTTTTCCATAGTTGAGCTAATAAGTTACTTATTTAAGTCATTGAATGAGCAAGTAACTTAACTTGTATATACAGAGAGTAGAAATAGAACTTTATTTGTAGCTGGTACATGCCTGATTTCTAGGTTACTATTCCACCTTTATGGACAGTTACATGTATATGTGATTTGATACTGTAGAAATTCTAGTAGACTGTCCGTGTATAGAAATTAGTCTCATTTAGTACTGTTATTGTTCAAGCAAGAACCTTAAATCCAAGCAAAACTATTATCGATTGAAAGCTTTACTCTACCTTTGGTAGATTACAGGGACAATGCCACCTCTGTAAATGGCAATCTTTTCCCAAGCAGGTTGTGCCATATCGAAATGTTGTCGCGGGGGGTTACACCAACCTCCATTGTCGCTAGGAAGGGCATAATTTGGTGGGCAAAAGTTTGTAGCAGTAATGGTAACAGATACTCCTTTCTTGCACCATCGTGGTTCTGCTTTGTAATCACAGATGATCTTGTAGCATTGCCCACAAGATCCTCCACTGTTGAACAGGGCAGTGCTCAATGCAGCACTTCTAGTTCCATACCCTGTTGTATATAAGTTGCCGTATCCACAAGCACCCCCTGTTGCACGTTAAACAAATTAAAACATTAGTTAATAGTTATAAATATCGCAGTCACTTAACCCTGTGCAAAGTATAAGTCCATCTCAAGTCTGAATTAAAGGTATAGTTGCTTTAATATGATGGCTGACACAAAAATAGTCAAACTATATATTCATACTTTGGACCCCAACTAGTTTGGGAGTATATCATACATAGTTGATATAATATGACAAAAGTTCAGTAGCACGTAGGTGGCAAAAAGGTTAAAAGAAAATAGTTATCCATTCATATTATCCATCAAAAAATGGGTCAGATAATGAACCATTTATAAACGGGTCGAATATGGATAATGAACCATATTATCCACTTAGAAAATGGTTAACCAAATGGATAACCAATGGATAACTAATGTATTTAACTTTTACATTTGTAAAGCCTCAAATACGGGTTGAGTTGGATAATTTATCCGTTTTTTTAAATTACCCGTTTTGACCCGCTCATATCCGACCCGACCCGTCCTTTTGCCACCCCTAGACTAGTATGTAAGTTTGTTTGGAAAATGGAACTTACCCATTGTGCCAGAAGCATCAGCCCCACCATAAAAAGTGGCATGAGCTCTCGTCCATCCAGAAGCTGTGAAAGCGTTTGCATTGAAGAAAAAGCTAACAAAACCTATTATGAAACCCAGTGCAAGAATGCCACATTTGGCCATTTCTTTTAGCAGAAGAAGAAAATGATATTGGTGGATGAATATTGAGGAATTGGAATTGGGATGAATCCTTAATGTAATGGGTACTTACCAAGAAATGTAGCTGCTACTTAAATAGGCCCTTCTCAGTTTGTCTAATGCAACAACCTCACATGCAATCACTACAAGTGGGGGTGAGGGGGCTTGGAGAAAAACAATTTTTATATGGAAATTGAATTCTCTCGGCTACAAATTAATCTGTGTACAGTCAGAATCTCAATCAATTATTCCCACGTTCGTCACCTTTCCCTCAAAAGTCCACATTGTTTTCCCAACAGATAAGCCGTGAATCGTTCAATATATCATCTCAATTCTATTATGAAACAAAAGACTAGCATCTCACTTGCGACATAAAATATAATTTTTGCCTTGAATTTGTATGCAAACTCACATGCCTTTGCTTTGACATTACATTCTTTATTCCCATCATTTTCATGTATTAGCACATGCATGTTGGTGAATTCTTTTTTACTTGTCTTCCAAGTCTAATAATACTATGTGCTCATTCTTTTCTCTATCAGATATGACTTATACCTTAGCAACAAAGATTTCATAGTTTCCGGAGAAAGTTAAGTGTACGGAATCGGTCTCACATGTTGTACCGCGGTAATGTTCTTGGGAAACTTACCACCTTAATTACTTTAATTTCCTTTGTTAGGCATGCACGTATGCAGGGGCGGAGCTAGGTGTGCAAAAAGGGTTCAGCCGAATTCCCTTTGTCGAAAATTACACTATATATATGTTACTTGTTATTACACTGTATTTGTAAAATAAATTCTGGAAATATAAATGAATATAAACAGTAATGAATATAAACAGAAATGACATAAACCAATTCGAGCCCACTGAATTCACAGTGTTNTCCGTAGATTTGTGTCCAGTTTTCCCACAGTTGTAGCAGTTTCCACTGAACCGCTTCTTGCTTGGGTTGTATTTCGGTCCAGAAGCCTTCTTTCTCTTTTTGTTCTCTTCAACAATATTTGCTCCCATTATTGTTGAATTTCCACGGCCTCTCTTTTCCGCAGCTTTGTTGTCCTCTTCGATTCTCAACCGAACAATGAGATCTTCAAGGGACATCTCCTTGCGTTTGTGTTTCAAGTAGTTTTTGAAGTCCTTCCACAAAGGAGGCAACTTCTCAATCATCGCTGCTACTTGAAATGCTTCATTGATAACAAGACCTTCAATGAAATTTCTATTAGTAAAAATACTAAGATTACTACTTTCAACATCAATATTAAATTGAGTTATACCTTCAGCAAGGAGATCGTGAATAATCACTTGCAATTCCTGGACTTGGGTAATAACAGACTTGCTATCTGCCATTTTGTAGTCCAAAAACTTTGCAGCAACAAACTTTTTCAACCCGGCATCTTCGGTTTTGTATTTCTTTTCAAGCGCAGTCCACAGTTCCTTTGACGTTTCCACGCCACTGTAGACGTTATACAAACCATCCTCCAGCCCGCTTAGAATATAATTCTTGCACAAAAAATCTGAATGCTTCCATGCCTCAATTACGAGAAAGCGTTCAGTTTCTGGAGTTTCATCGGACAACACAGGAACATCTTCCTTGATGAACTTCTGGAGACTTAGAGTAGTCAGATAGAAGAACATCTTTTGCTGCCAGCGCTTGAAATCAATCCCGGAAAATTTTCCGGGTTTCTCCGCCGGTGCCAATGCTGCCGGTGTCGTTCGGCTTGTTGACGCATTGGCAGTCACCATTGGAACCGCTTGGTTCTCATTCTCATTAGTCATTTCTGTAAAAGAATGACACAAACGTTAAAATCACGTAGATTTTAATAGAGTACAAAACCACAAAGGTTTTACTCTTCCAGAAACAGTAAGTACAAATACAGAAAATAAATTATTAAATTTCTTAAGCTTGTTACTTGTTATTACACTGTATTTGTAAAATAAATTCTGGAAATATAAATGAATATAAACAGTAATGAATATAAACAGAAATGACATAAACCAATTCGAGCCCACTGAATTCACAGTGTTTCCTTAAGGAATTTAATCCCCTCCTATTACCCAAGGTTATGGATTATTTCCTCCCAGGATAGAACGAATTACACACTGGTGTAGTGGTACTTCAAACCCCAGTGTTTCAGCGAACACAAAGTTCGGTAGCAAATCACACTTACTTTTTGCTTTGTTTTGATGCTAAAAGTATGCAGAAGAAGGAGAGGAAACTCAGAAAATTGTAGTTAAAATTCTGAGCAGAATAGTGTTGTATTTATAGCCAAAGTTGGGTCTCTTCAGAATGGCTGTTTATGCAAAACGCCCACAACATAAATGCCATTACATAAATGGCCATTTACTCAATAATAAAGAGGGAAAATAAAGAGGGAAAATTGAAGAGGGTAGTTACTTTTCTGTTACCAAAACAGAAAAACGGATTGNCAACTCAGTGAGTAATAAAAATAAATGAAGACTGAGTAGTATGAAACCACGTAAAGCACAACATTAAGCTATAAGAGGCCTAACAAAATCAGTGAATATAGATAAGCAGTGAAAATCTCATAACACCTTTTAAAAACCCAACAATATATATATATATATATATATATATATATATATATATATATATATATATATATATATATATATATATATTAGATGGTGAATCCCCTTAGTTTTTTCGCATTTATTTATTTATTTATTATTATTATTTTTTTTTTGTAAATTCCCTTGGTGAAATTTTTGCTTCAGCCACTGCACGTAGGACCAAAAAGATTAAGCATGTTGGATGTTTGAATGACAAGAAAAAGGTCCCAAGTCCTAGGTTCAGAATTCATTCTAGTGTTTGGATTCGAATCGTTATGGCCATTTGGGCTACAAAATTAATTTTTACTAAACTCAGAAATAGTTTTCATACTTTAAAGAATGAGGGCTTTGAAGTATGAAGAGATAAATATTAGAGTATTTAGAACCAGAGGCAGAATAAGGATTTTGAGTTTATTGTTTCTAGTATCTAGAAAAGATAACTTATAGTTATCTATACATATTAAGTGGATATTTTAATACAAATATAAAGTCTGGATCAAAGTTACTGGTTGAACAGTAGCTCCGCCCCTGCCCCTGTTTAAAACTATGTAATGGTATAGTTCCAGTACGGAGAGTTTAGAACTATACAGAAAAGTACGGCTCTCAGCATAAAGCTTTCTGGGAAATGACGTTGCCCGATATGTAACTCCATTTATCATAGCCAAAACAAACAAAAAGAAAAGTAAATTTTATCAGATTCATTAATCAAAGTGGTGAATTTTATTATTTAGTCTTAATTGGTTGGCTGATAATATTCGCTCATGATTAATTCCATGTTGTTTCCTTGAATCACGGCGTATGTAGATAAACAAAAAGAGAGGTGACTTATCATTTGATCTTCAGATTTTAGTAATTGAAATAATAGCATCCTCAAACAAGTACAGAATGTGTACGTACGAACTTCAGAATTCACGAAACTGGCCATGTGCTTATCCTCCCCACCGTCAACCAAAAGCGCCAAGTTTATTCAAAAGTCTACTCTTAGAAATTCCTTAGGGATTATATTCTTGATTAATGCTGAGCTAACTACAGCGCAAAACCGTACTCTTTTTAGGGAGTTTTTCTTATATATACTATAGTAGGAACTTATTAATTTATTTTCTCTAGGTTTTGTAGTTTTCAAGAAGTATCTAGGTTTTTCTTACAAATTATATACATTCCCCCTTAAAAGGCTCTCATCCCATTATTAATACCTTGAATTAAGGGATTCAATTATATCCTTTCCCTTTTTCACACTTCTCCTCATTTCATGCATCCTAATTTTTTCAGTACGCGGATCTCATCTTCTCTCTCTTCGATAGTTGCAAGTCTTCAACAAAAAGATGGTAATTTTGCTTCAGTTGTTGAATGGTTTTGGTTGGAACCTTCAAATACTACTACATATTTTATGTTTCTATTATCCTTATAATGTTAGAAAGTTATCCCTAATCTAACAAATCTAATAACCCAAATCTGCTTTCCATAATAGCAACCAAAAAATAAAAATATCTTTGCAATAAGAAATCTATACACACGGCATAGAATGTCATGTGATGACAAAAAAATTCAGTTGCCAAAAGTTTCTTCAACAATTCAAAAATCGTTGAACTCTAGCAAAACTATTACTAATAGGATAATGGCTCATACACAATTCAAATGTAAAATTGGTCACAAACTTACAATTGCTCATCACCGTATACAATTATCATACATTTGTAATATAATTTATGCAACACTTATTATAGAAATACAAATATGATACAATCGTGATACAATTCTAATCTTCATCTTCTTCAAGTTTCAATCATAATTATAAACTTAAACTGATACAATATTGTATTATAATTGTATTCGTATTGTATCCGGTATTATTTTATCTATTGATGTATCAGACAAGTTAAATACAATTTTGATACAATTGTGATACAATTATGAAACAAATCTGATACAATTATCATACAAACGTGATACAATTCAGGAACTTCTTCATCGAGTTTCAATATGAAATTTTACCTAAAAACAACTCTAAACTTAACCAATCTCTCTCAAAATTGAAATATAAACTCCAAGTTATATTCTCAATTATTTGCTAGAACACCCAATCCAAACAATTCACAAATTCGTAAAACCCAAATGTTGAATTCAAAGCTGTGAAGCTTTTTAATGGTTGTCAATGGAGATCTCTTTGCTACTGCAATTTTGGAGATAATATCGAAGAATTTTTGTGAATAGGATGAGATTTGGGTTGATTTGTATGGAAGAGAAAAATATTCAAAATCTTTTTGAAAATGGGATGAAAATATGATTTTAGGGGCTTTGTATAACTGATATACATGAGAGTGAGAAGGGGCTGACGTGGGGGAGGGGGAAGGGAGGGTTGTATCAGTTACTCCTAATTTTAAGGATGCTCTCTTTATTAAGGTTTTGTATATAAATAGTAAATATAAATAGAGAATATAATTTTAAGGAACCTAAAGAAAAATGGTAAATAAATTTCTATTATAGTATAACTAGGTAAATTTTCCCTCTTTTTATGACTACTTGTTGCCTCTTAATAAATCTAAATCATTCAAATTTTTTATGTAGATTTAAAATCATTAAGACGGTAGTTTGGATATATACTTCCGCAACAAACCTAGACGTTTTAGTCAAAATTATTCTTTATGTTTGGGGTAGACCCAACTTTGTCCTTTAAATTTGGGAAAAAGATACGAGTACCTATAAAAGTGAAACTATTTACCCTGCTCTACCCAAAAAAGAATTTTACCCACTAAATAATTATAATCCCCTACCCATTTAATAAACAAATGGGTATCTCAAAATAACTACCCCACGCTAATGCCCTACCTATAAAAAAGCAAAAACTGCTCAAAATTTCATAAAATAAGCGTACAAAATTGAGATTTCCACCGGCATCTGTTGAAGATTCGAAGACCGCCACCCTAATTTGAAGATCGGAAGTGTGAAAAAACAGAGCGAAGATGCTGATTTCTCTTTACAATTCGAATTTTTCTCCTTAAATTTGAGAAGTAGCTGATTTGACTTTGGAAGATGCTAAAACTTTTGATGCTAAAACTTTTGATGCTCAAACTCGCATCTTATTTTTCCGATTTTGATTTCGCTGGCAGATCAGAATGTCAAAAATTATAAGTATTACAGAAGTTTAGCGCTCAAACTTCTGAATTTTTAGCTGAAAATTCTATTCTCAGTTTGGAGATCTGGAGATCTAGAGGTTTGAATCATAACAACTGATTTGATTTCGAAAAATCTTTTGTTGAAATTCAATATTTGACATCAACACTGTTGAAATTTGCATTGTCGAGATTCAATTTTGGACATAAAAGTAGTTATAACTTCAGAATCATGAAAAATATATCAATTCTGCTCCAGCATAGTGGAGAATGGGGTGATAATTATAATTTCATAAACTTTCATGTTGATGCAATTCTAATAAAGACCTGTTGGAAATTTGAACAACTTCTCAGAGAAATTATAAAGCAACTGCAAAAGGACAGTAACACAATAGTTATTCAATACGTTATTACTCAAGGGTATACACCAATTACAATTTGCAGCAATATGAATGTTAGTGTTTACATGGAATTAAAAAAAATCAAGTGCAGGGATGACAACAATTCCACTGTGTGTGTCGTTTGCTAAAAATACTATAGTTGCAAGCACCTCCAGTTTCGATGTTGCTACAATTTCATCAGAAATTGCACCATTTGAAAGCAGTGATATGATTAGTACGTTTGATGTGCAAGAAGGAGATGACACCAGTATAGAACTTGATGATGCAAACATCATAACTGATCAATTTCATTAAAAATTGAAAAATGACAAATTTACAAAGACAAGAACCTGCTGGCTCTCATTATGAAACAGTATGCCGTTAGAGAAAAATGTCAATATTGGGTTAATAAATCATGCCCAAGAAGGTTCGTCTGCATTTTTTCAAGTAAAAAACTATGCGATACCTATATAGTATATAAGTATGCTAAATCAGTATATTATGCGAGTATAGAATTGTACTGGTTTGTCTGTGTTTTTATCAGTAAAAGATGATACTGTTATAGTATATAAGTATGCTACATCAGTATACTATGCGAGTATATAATTGTACTGGTTTTTGTTTGTTATTATCAGTAAAACATAATACCAATATAGTATATATGTATGCTAAATCAGTATAGTATACAACTATAGAATTGTGCTGGTTTGTCTGTGTTTTTTATCAGTAAAAGATGATACTGGTATATTATATAAGTATGCTATATCAGTATACTATGCGAGTATATAATTATACTGGTTTGTGTTTGTTATTATCAGTAAAGCATAATACCAACATAGTATATATGTATGCTAAATCAGTATACTATGTGATTATAGAATTGTGCTGGTTTGTCTATGTTTTTTATCAGCCAAAAATATGATACTGATATAGTATATAGGTATGCTATATGAGTATACTATGTGAGTATATAATTGTACGGATTTTTGTGTGTGTTTTTTATCAATAAAACATGATACATAACTGTATTTGTATTATAAACAGGTATACCCTTGAATGCGTGGACGAAAGATGCACTTGGAGACTTAAAGCATCATGCCTGCAATCATCAAATCTTTTCAAAGTGACGGATTTTAATTCTGTCCACAGTTGTTTAAATGATAAGAGATTTTGTTCAAAAAAGCAAGTTGTCTCAGCTTTTGTTGCAACTGTGGTACAAGATAAACTTGTTGACCCGAAAACTATATATACACCAACAGATATCCAGAGAGACATCCAAAAAGCATATGGTATGGACTTCAGCTATATGCAAGCATGGAGATCAAAAGAAAAAGCAATGCAATTATTGAGAGGAACACCAAGTGAGTCATACAAGAAAATACCAACATATCTTTATATGTTAGAGTACGCTAACCCAGGATCAGTGACACGATTGCACAACGAAGGAGATGGGAGCTTCTTGTATGCATTCATAGCTATATATGCATTGGTTAGAGGATGGATCTATTGTAGGCCAACAATTGTAGTTGATGGAAGTTTTTTAAAGTCAACATATAGAGGGACCATACTCACGGCTTCCACGCAAGACGCAGAGGGTAAGAAAAAAAGTTATTTGAGAATTAGTATCGAATAACTGATGTACTTTACTATTTTATTACATTCAGTTATAGAAACAAAAAAGATTTTCAAGTATTATATGATACCAACATGGTATACGAGTATACCAACAGAGTTTATAATTATTTTGCTACATACCTGCACCTACCTATGACTATACTACTATATGAAATGCTAAATTAATATTGTGTGTTCTAATTGATATTTTTTCCTTTGGTTTTACAGGACAAATTATACCCCTCATATATGCAATTATTGATTCGGGAAACGATGAATCGTGGGAGTGGTTCTTCGTGCAGTTCAGAGAAACCTATAGACAAAGAGAGGAATGTGCATTGTATCAGACGGTCATGATGGTATATGGAGAGCAACTTCAATTGTCTATCCAGAAGTCCCTCATTATGCATGTATGTTCCATCTGTGGAACAACATAAAGACAAATTCAGAAAGAGCCAAAAACAAATCAAAGAAGTATACTTTGCGTTAGCAAGAGCATACACTGTTGAAGAATTCAACAAGCATATGGCAGAGTTAGAAGCTATTGATGGTAGAGTGAAAACATACCTGATGGATATTGGATATGATAAATCGTCTCGGGCGCATTCCAAGGCAAATAGAACCATGACCATGACATCGAATATTGTAGAATCAGTAAATGCAGCAAACAAGCATGCAAGAGGCCTATCAGTTGTGAATTTGCTTGACTTTATGACAACATTGATTCAGAAATGGAATTACACCAATCGAAAGGATGTCGTGGAATCATTTATCAAGATTGGTGTGAAGTATGAAAAAATATTGGCAGATAATACTATCTTATCACAGACGATGACGGTATGCATTTTCAGAATCATAAAAACACTGCATGTACTGTAATTTTACTTCTGTACCTTAGAGATTTCACTAAACAACTGAATATTGTTATTAAAAAAAATACTATTACTTCATATAGCTAATGACTTTTCTTAATTAAAATTATATTAGGTGTTGTCATCAACTCAATTCTTACATTCAGTAATTGATGGCCAAACAAGAAATGTGGTGCGCCTACATGAAAAAAACTACACTTGTGGAAGGTTTCAGCTAGACGATATTCCATGTCCACATGAAATGGCAGTTATACAAAAATTTCATATGGATTCATACAAGTATTGCTCGGATTACTACAACATAGACTACTTGTTGAAAACATATGAGATACCAGTAAATCCTTTGCCTGATGAAACAATGTGGCAAATTCCAGAACATGTCTCTTCGCAGGTGGTACTGCTACCAAAAGGAAAAATCAAACCAGGAAGACCTAAAAAGAAGAGAGGCATAGGAGGCTGGGAAGAAAATACAGTTGCATGTGCACTATGCGGGGAAAAAGGACACAATCGGAGAACATGCCGAAATATTCCAAGAGAGATTGATATAATGCTTCAATATTTTTATAGAACTCATATATCGTAGAATCATATTTTTTGAATTGCAAAGAAATAAAATGCATGTCTTGCACTAGACATATATTTGGTATGGTGATTCTTTGCCAAATTACTTTTTGGCAAAAAATTTATAGGCTACTTGTGTTTTCAATATGAATCTGTTTATTTTTTATTTTAGTATATAAAAGTGGGATGCATTTACATCTAGTTTCTGCAGGAAAAAGGTGCTAAAATATAAATGTGATACCCAAGTGGTATATCTGTATACCTTATTGGTATCAAAATATGTGTAGAAACAGAAGTGGTGCCCCAAATGCAACATTTGTACATACATTGTTAACAAAATGGGCACGCTTTGCAGCTTATGTCAGTATTGAAATATAACAAATTAGAAGCCATTTACATGCAGTTATTGTACATCATCGGTTACTTAAATACAAGGTGATACCCAAATGGTATATTTGTATACCTTATTGGTATATAATTGTATTGCACTAATATGGCTAAACCAAAATATGTGCAGAAATACAAATGGTGCACCAGAAAATACAACATTTGTAAATACTTCCTCAACAAAATTGGCACACTTTGCAACTCATGTCAGTATTTACATCTAGTTGCTGCAGGAAAAAGGTACTCAAATACAACGTGATACCCAAATGGTATATCAGTATACCTGATTGGTATATAGTTCTACTGTACTAATATACCTGAACCAAAATCTTTGCAGAATACAATTGGTGCAGCAATGCAAATTATGCACAGATTTTCTTAGATTCAACTACAACTAACAACTATAAATTCAAAATCAGTTCACTCTCTAAAAATATTTCTTCTCATTCAAATAAATGCTCGCCCTCTTATTCAACAAAATAACAACATAGTTCCTCTTTTCGAACGTCGTAACTCCCTTAAAAATACACCTCCAAAAACAACTCCTGCTGGTGTCTTACAACGAACTAACAATGCTCCTCCTACTACAAATGGCAGTAGGAGTAGGAACTAACAGTGCTGCTGTAACAACCATGTTCTGCACTAATGGCTCGACTACAAGTGCTAACAAAATTCTGTCTCCGAAAGGCACCCCTAATAAACCAACAACTTTATGGAAAGAAGCCTAAGAAAAGCCTAATAAAACAAACTGAAGATAGATTCCAACATTAAATAGTTATAGCAACATATAGTACTATTAAAATTGTATTCCAAGTAAACACTTTTAAAAGCTAGCATTTTTACAATCTAATAATGCAAAATACCATACTTCACCAAAAACTATTAAAATCCTGCAAAGTTTTCATGCTACGATTAACTAAAACCAAAAAGGGACCTATACTACTTCTTGCCTTTCTTTCCACGAGTCTTTTTTGTTGCTACTGGAGCCTCAGATTCACTTGAATCGCCATGCAACTGCTTGTTCCTCCCATAATGCCACAACAGTATACCAAACCTAGCTCGAAGACCATCCACATCAAAATTGACAATAGGGATTGGAAGATCTTCAATAATGTACTCAGCAAAGCATGCAACATATACTCTACAATCTCTGAAATAAAACAAATGAACAGAATATAAAAATCGATTAGTAGTGAAAAATATTAATATGAATGAGGACAACAAAGTTAAAAAAAAAGTAACTATTCTTACGAATTTTGCTGTGTAGGCAGATTTGTAATCAGTTCAATCTCAAAAGGATCAGTCAACTCCTTTCCCATGTGCAGACCATTTTGTACTACAATGTCACTTCTTTGGTTATGAAATTCAATGCTAACTAGAAACAGGGGGATCAACACAGCATATGCCTCTGCCACCTTTTGAATAGTTTTTTTGTGCTTTCGACTATGTAGCGAGTCATATACGTAAAAATATCTCTTGTGGAATGATACACACCCCAATATTCAATGCCATTTTTCTGCCAAATTAATTGGAAAAAGGACATGATCAACTTGGTGCCATGGAGTGTTGCAATGCATCCTAAATCCTTTCATGTACTCCATGATATCGTCTGATCTATCAATCAAATGACTTGTTTCCCACCTTTTACAAATTATGTGAAACCCTTTGAATGATATTATTAAAAAGAGTATATGTAGTTGTGACTTTGATTGGCATATTAATTCCATATTTCGCCTTCTTCCTAAGATAGTAGAATATAATATTCAAGTGCTGCAAAAAAGAGAGGAAGAAAACATGACTAACACTAACAATATGAATGATTTACTACAACAACAAAAATAAAAAGCAGTACACATACCGAACTAGACAGCGGCCTGCCAAAATAGTTTAATGTATGGAAAAACGTCTTATCATCAGTATGTTCAACTTCAAAGTCAAAACAAGGATCGAGCTTTTGATCACCAGGTAAATACACTTCCCTATTTCGTATAAAAGAAGATATGGATAAGAAATATATCAACCAAAATTAAGAAAACATGAAAAGAAAAGCACATGGAAACGAATACACACTCTCCCAATTGCATGTTTGCTTCAATAAAGTTTGAGAATGCAGTCGTAAGCTTATAATCAACAGCCACTGAAATGTCATTTACAAATGGAAGTCTTCCTTTGATAACCTTCGAGGATCCCCCAACTGCACTAACACTAGATTGCCAATCATTCCTATACGACGACTGTTTTACAGCTGCAGGGCGCCTTCGCCGTATGAAAAATGCAGGAGTTGTTTCAACATCTGATTGTGTCTGGACAATAGTTCATGATACCGACTGATTAGGTTTAGACTTATTTACATCACGAGTTGTCAGTTCATTTCCAGATTGATTTACATTACGTCTCCCTCCTTGTGTAATGGCAGCAATTAGATCAAGTTGAGAATCAGTATATTCAAAATTAGAATCCAAGTCAAGATCACCACCGTGTCGACATAGAGCTTAAATTAGAAAATGCTAGTGAATCAACAAATATACAAAGTTAAGAAATTTAAAAAACAAATGAAAAGTTATATATACAAGACATTACTAGAAGGCAAATTTACATTACTGCCACCAACATCCACTTGACCTACACCATCAACCCGAGATGCCGAACACATAAAAGCATTATCAACATCACTATTTAAATAAAAAAACTATCAAAAAACTCTCATTTGCATATTAACTTCAGAATTAGTAACATCAACAATTGTACCCTGTGGAGCAGAATTAGACTCAATAACAATATCTGGTCGTGTCTGTGCAGGGATATCTGATGGCAGCGAAGCAGGTCCAGACTTTTTAACATCATGAGATGGGTGCTTATATTTCGCTTATTGTGTAATGGCGGTGATTTGATCAATTGCAGATGCAGACAGTTCAAAGTTAGAATCCAAGCCAAGATCATGCTCATTTACGAAGGGGGCTGAAAAAAGTTAAAAAAGGTTAGTGAAGGCACAAATACATAGAGTTAAATAAATAAAAAAAGAATAAAAAGAATTACATATGCAATATTTTACCAGAATGCAAATCATCATTAACTACGCCATGCCTTGCTGTAACGTTCTTCACATTGACACTACTGGCACCTCCATCTCGACCAACCCCATCAAAACCAGACACTAAACATATAAAAGTATAAGCAAGACTACTATTTTCAAAAAATAACAGCAAAAAAAAAAATCAAATATGTGATTTACATACTAGAAGGCGCTTTGGGCGTGCTATCTCCAATAACTACAGGATCATTCCCACCGTGGCCCCTTTCAAACTGGTCATAATCATTACGCATCTCACGAAAGTAAGGATCATTATCCTGTTGCTTATGCTGAAAATGAGAAAATAACAATTTTATTATTATGTATACTACAAGAATACTATGTGCACTAAAATTAAAGAATGAAATAGTATCCTATAAGCATATATTGCATCTTTGAACAATATACTATAGCATTATATTATATAAAAGATTAATACCGTTAAATTTTTCTCCGGTTTCATTGTCTGCCTACCAATAGCTGCAAGCACGTCCTCAAACTTGGTCTCGACAAAAAGTTTCAAACTTTGTAACTCCTTCATTACCTCAACATTGGTAGGTTCGGAATCACCTCCAGTACTTTCATGCATACTTGTCTTTGGCAATTGAGTGCCAAAAACTTGAAAGCTATCAGGTTGACTGTCAGTGCAATCAACTTCAATTCCAAAGTTTAGACCACACACATCAAGTAGTTGCTTCTCAGCATCAGTTGGGGTGATGTTCTTTAGCTGCAATTATTAAGCACACTAGTTAGAAATAGAAATGATAATAAAGTATGGAAAGATAAAAGATCCCTATTACCATATGATACCAATATGGTATACATGTATACCAACAAGGTATATTACTGATCTGGGATATTGCTACACCTAACTGTGACTAAACTACTGTACCAAAAATATTAAAAGATGCAATAAAAGTATGAGAAAATTAAAAGTATAAGTACCAATAAAACTATAAGTAGAAGAAAAGATCCCTATTACCATATGATACCAATATGGTATACATGTATACCAACAGAGTATATTACTAATCTGGGATATTGTTACAACTACCTGTGACTAAACTATTGTACAAAAATTATTAAAAGATGCAATAAAAGAATGAGAAAATTAAAAGTATAAGTAGCAATAAAAGTATAAGTAGCAGAAATGATCCATATTACCATATGATACCAATATGACATACATATATACCGACGGAGTATATCATTGATCTGGGATATTGCTACAACTACCTGTGACTAAACTACTGTACCAAAATATTAAGAGAGGCAATAAAAATATGAGAAAATTACCTGCTTGCGTTGCAAGCTAGACATTCGCAAAGCAACTCACTCATTCGGTATTTGAACCATGACTACCCAATTCAAAATTCGTGGAAGTTTGTTTCCATTATGATCAGCAAAGTGACCATCCAAACTTGGGTAGCATTCATACAACCAAATCTGTAAAGCCAACAGGAAGCCACCGAATCTATAAAAAGAAGGCTTATCTTGAAACTTGTTGGAACACGAGTCGATTGTAGCATTATAAACACCTATACCCCAGAGATAATTATTAAAAT